AAACAGTGTGCTCCAGGGAAGAGCAAACCAATCAGGTATTTGATAACAAATGCCCAGCCATGAAAACAGTCATATAAATTTCTTTCCTAAAAATGAGAATCCTATATTTTGAAATACATATACATTAATGCATATATATATTCACATATACACACACCTAGCTACATCCATATACACATAAATTGACTTATAATATTTGCACACATATGCATATGAATATAATATCCTTTAGTACAAAAAGAGTCGGCGAATTAGGAAGAGAACAAGGAAGGGTATCTGGAAGGGCTGTGAGAGAAGAAAGGGAAGGGAGATATGTTAAAACTATAATTTCATCAAAAAAATGAAAATTTAAAAATATACATCTAAAATAGAAGTACAATATAGGATGGCTCATGCCTCTAATCCCAGTACCTTAATCTCAGTGTGTGTTTGAGGTCAGTGTGGTCCACATACTGAGACATTGGCTCAAATATAAATAAAGAAAAAATAATAAATGATAAAGATCTAGAGAAAAGCAAACTTCTGTTGGTGATACAATACATGATAACAGTACATGTCTTAGACAAATGACAGGTTCTATTAAAACCTTCTTCTAATCTACTCCACTGTAGCAATGCCTCTTTTCTCTTGATTACAACACAATGCTTATATTTGTTCATGTTTTTTGTCATATTCTTATTTAAAATATCATTTACTTTACTTATCCCACTAGACTCTGTCTCTTCTGCTTCCATAAACAGTTTTCTTCTTCCTTACAAAGATGCTGAGTTTGAGGAATTGGTGGTTCTCTATCCTGATTCTCTCCAGGAAGGACATAGATTCTGTTCAAGGCCTTTGTCCATTCCGGATCCAGGCCTTAGTGCTTTTTTATAACATGAAGTCATTTGTGGACCATTTGCTATTTGGTAAAATTATTTATATACACAAGTGAATGATATCAATCCATTTTGAAAAAAAAAACATTTTCTATGAAAATTAAATGCAAACAATTATTGAGTCTTACCATATGTACTTCCCAGTAGCTGATATGGAAGACACTAGTGGAATTTTTGTTTAACACCAACATTTTAACTGGGAGCATTCAGAATTAAGGGATGATTTCAGAATGAGGAGAGCTGCACACTAGCCGTAGAGTGAATTGTGTGGTGAACGAGGAGGATCAGGAAGAGAGTTGTGCACTCCATGGTGAAGACATCTGTTGTAATAGGAGCGGTGGGGCTGCGTCCCCAGCACCCTGGCTGCCTGCTAGATTATGCACCGAAATAATTACACGGACACTGTATTCTTTTAAACACTGCTTGGCCAATTATATCTAGCCTCTTCTTGGCTAACTCTTGCACCTGGACTAGCCCATTTCTAATAATCTGTGTAGCCCACGAGGTGGCTTACCGGGAAGGATTCAGCATGTCTGACCTGGCGGCTTGCTTAATCGTGTGCGTCTGCCCAGGAGAGGGGAGCATGGTGTCTCTGAACTCATTTCCTCCCAGCATTCTGTTCTGTTTAATCCACCTACCTAATTTTCTAACTATCAGGGCCAAGCAGTTTTCTTTATTACTTAACCAATGAAATCAACAGATTGATATATGACACTCCCACATCAGACATCCCAGTTCCCTGCTTCATCAGGCCCTACAGCCCATCCTGATCCTCTCCCAGGCCTTTCATTCTCTCTCCAAACCAGTTTATGAGAGAGCAGTGTCTCATGAACATACACCCATCTTCCTGTGTGACACTTCTACATAGTATAGATCAGATCTTGATTTTAAATCTAGATGTGGTAACAGAAGAGATTTGGTGAGCATGGTCATCTTAAAATGACTTTTCCAAAAAGATGCATTCATATTCTGTTCCCCATAAACTGGGAATCTCATGAGCATTTAGAGAGAACAGAAGAATAACCAAATTTTGAGCATCTGGTAGAAATTCCAGAGTCATATTTAGAAATTCTTTATCTGCTCTTTGACTCTAGGTAGGTTAGAGTTTGTGTTTGGTAAGAAATAAAAGACCTGGAAATTATTATGTTGAGGAAGGCAGAACAGAGGACATTATACTAGCAATAAAGTATCAGGCACAGGAAAGAACACAGACTGCTGCTAGTCCTCAAAAGTGTGTGATGATGAGCTAATGCCTCTTTCTTAATACTTATGGTTATTTACTATTATGGTACAAACAGATTGCCATCTTCACTTTGGTGTGATCTGTCCCCATGTGTGTCCTATATTCTCTAGCTTCAGTTGTTGAAGATTGCCTAGAAAACTTACTGCATGGCATCAGACACAGCCAAAAATTTTATGTTGAGCATTCTCTCTGTGTGTCTCTATTTCTCTCTGACTCTCTTCCCTCCCCTGTTTTTCACACTCTCTTACTCCCACTCCCTCCCAACTTCCCCTTTTCCTTCCCTCTCCCTCCCTGCTTCTACTCTAATCTCCTTCTGTCTCCTAAATGAATTTGAAAGCTTGAGGGCAATTTATGAGAGCTTAAAAGGAAACAGTACAAAGAATTGAGTGAGGGAAAACTGTAAATCTTTACAGCTGCCCAGAGGAGGAAAAGTAAGATGGGAAAGAAGGCATGCTATTTGAGATAAGCCAGTATGGAGCTCAGTTGCATGGTGAAAGAGGTGGTTTGAGTGAGAATTCCCCCATAGGTTCTGGGATTTGACTACTTAGTCCAAAACTAGTGGTGATATTTGGGTAAGTTTAGGAAGTGAAGTTTTGTGGACAACTAAGTCACTTCAGGTGAGTTTTGAACATTCAAAGTCTTGTACCACACCCTTCCTCATGCTTGATGATTGAGATGTGAACTTTGAGCTTCTGATCTTGTTCCCTGTCTGTGACTTCCTTATCCTGAAAAAAAAAAAAAAAACGTTAATCTCCCAGTGAAATCCTCCTTCTATGAATTGTGATGAAGTTGTGATGCTAAAAAAGAAATCCCACAGTAGCTCAGAATTGAGTATAATAAAAAGGTTATTTATTTAGGGGTAGACTAACAGATCAAATCCTATGCTCGATCAGGGAAAAGCAACCAATCCCAGCAGCCGGAAAACAGAGAGAAAAGCTGGATGCATGTTTCCAACAGCATATATAGTATATGAGGCCACTGCCAAATGGGTGGGTGATTTAAAGGCTACTAACTGCGGGAATTCCTACAGCTGGTATTTTTTAATTTATGGGATGCTGTAACTCAGCATAGCTGTCAAGGCATGAAGGTCAATTTCTTATGTAGCTGAAATTTTTAGTCAAGTATCATTTATCTCCATATAAACTTTCCATAGCATGTTAATCAAAGGCCCAGGGACATTAATATAAAAGGTAATAATCATGCCAATGCTGTGATCCTCATAACAATAACAGAGTTGCCTTTGTCATGTTGTTTTATCAAAGTAAAATAACTAATACAGTTGACAGTCAGTCACTTGATAGGGAGATGTGAGTTCTATGGAAATAGTGAAGAAACACAAAGTTACAGAAAAAGACAGACATTGGACTCTGAACTCCATGTAATGAAATAAACAAAATGGGAAAAAAAGTTATGCAATTCTAAGGAAGGACTGAGAAACCTGGGAAAACCAATCATAATCTTCTATCTTCAGGCAAGATTGGCTGCTTTGAGTTTATGATCAAACAGAACCTCCTATCATAGTGCTTGAACTAGAGTTCTCAAAAAGGTCTACAGCCATACCATCTTGAACGTGCCCAATCTTGTCTGCTCAAGTTGGGTTTCAAAGATTTCTCCAGGAAAGCAAGTATAATTATTGCCTTCTTACTAAAATCCTATACAAATGAATAATACTCTAATACACTCAAAATACTATCCCTTTATAATAATTTTGTGGGATTTTGTTTGTTTTGTTGTTTTATTTTTGATTTCTATGCATGTTGTCATGTAATTTTATTGGTTAAGTCCAATGTGAGATTTTAAAGATGGACTCAGTGTGGACAAAGGAAAACCTTTAGGCTGATATAGAAAAATCACATGTAAGAATTTTGGCAGACACTAAACCATGTGGAGGTAATTTTATCCTTCCCTCAAAATATCTTGGAAAAACTACAAAGTAAAGAGGAGTGTCAGGAACAATATGGAAAAGTTCATGAACATTTAAGGACAATGTTCAGACATTGTGGCTGTTTTTATTATTTTGTCATGAGACTATGAGGCACTGTCACACTGCCTTATGAGTGTTTTACACTGTACTCCTCAGGAATTTGCTGGGGTGGTATAGGAGGTCCTTCTGTTTGTGTGTTGTTTTCATTGGTTAATTAATAAAGAAACTGCTTGGCCTGATAGGGCAGAACTTAGGTAGGTAGAGAAGACAGATTTGAATGTTGGGAAGAAGGGCAGAGTGGCAGAAAACATGGTTCTCCTGCCTAAGACGGACGATGGTCAGAATCTTGTCAGTAAGCCACAGTCATGTGGTGATACACAGATTTAAAAGAAAAGGGTTAAAGTCAGATGTAAGAGTTGGGCAGTGAAAAATTAGAGCTAATGGGTTAGGCAGTATTTAAATGAATACAGTTTCTGTGTGATTATTTTGGGTGTAATTTTGCTGGGTGCTGGGATTAAACAAAGGGACCCCCTCGTACAACACTGAAGCTAAAATATTTAGAGCATGTGAGAAGAGAGCCATTTTACAACAAATAGACATTACTGTGAACATTGGTGAGTAACAGCTAGTGCCTTAAACCCAATTCTCTAACTTCAAAATAGAATGTTCTCACCTCCTCAAATCTGTACATATAACATTTAATTTTCATAGTCATTAATTTACAGAGCAGTGCTCTCAATACAATCCTTACCTTTCTTCTATTTTACAAGGAACTCAGGAGATAGAACTATGATCTATCCCTGAGTGAAAAGAAGAAAAGGTTCAGGGAGTGTGAAAAGTAAGAACGTCAGCTGATCCTTTTCAAATTCATAGAATAGTCTTGCTAGCAAGAGAGGAAAACAGTTCTTGTCCTGCTTCCTCATTTATATGGGTTACTGTGTTCACCCACTGCTATCACCTGTACCACAGAAATAGTCAGCTTCATCTTCAGGCTGAATGTTGGAGATGCTTAAGTAGCGAGGAGCCCCAGAGCTGGAGCCAGAGAAGCGATCAGGGATCCCATCTCCCTTGCCATGGTTTCCAATACTACTAAGCCACATCACATACTTAGGAGCCTTGTCTGGCTGTTGCTGGAACCAGTCAATGGTGTAGGAGCTGTGCTGACTACTCAAGGTACAGGTGAGTTTGACTGAGGCTCCCATGGAGGCCGAGGCTGTGGGTGACTGAGTCAGCACAGGTTGGGAGAAAGACCCTGAAAATAGAGAAACACATTACCTCCTGAAATAAGAGAAGAGGACAGAATATTCCTTGTTTCAATTGGTTTCCCTCAACTGTTATCAGGGTACAGATGACTCTGATTACCTGTGCAGTGAAGGAGGAAGAAGAGGAGAGGAATCCAAGCCATTGTGCAGACACCACTGAGCTCTGCTGAGACAGACATGGCGTGGTTCTCTCTTATCCTTTAACATTTCTCAGAGAACTGACAGGGCCCTTCTTGCAAATATGCAAATTTGTCTTGGCCAAGAAAATCCCTCTTAGGTGTTTGTCCCATCAAAAGTGTGTGTCACTTCCTTCCTGAGTCTGCCCAAGAGATCACAGTAGCCCCAGCTGCAGGGCCTACTGAATCATGAGGAGTCACAAAGAGATAAATGTTTGTATTCTCAGCTTAGTGTCTCGAGATACTTCAGTGGACCCTATGAACCCCCACTGAGCAGGTTTAGTTCTGTCATAACTGTGAGCACCATACTTTCCCAAGGCTTTGACTACTAAGCATTTCTGATCAAGGACAGACTGAGTTACCTCCTCTGAGGCTGACTTTTATATCTTCTCTTTAGTTTTCATCTCCCCAGTAAGAGCATTTGGTAGACCAGTGTCCTTACCCTATAGCTTATGATCCCCACAAGACAGATATCATATCTTAGATATACTATTGTTTAAATATTATCTTATGATAAATAACAGTAGAAAAACTACAGTTATGAAATAGCAATGAAAAATGTTATGGTTTGGTCACCACAAAATTAGAAACTATACCAAGGAGTCAGCACATTAGAAAATTTGAGAATCAAAGTTGTAGACCTTAATTTATTGGGATGTCTCAATTAGGGGCTTTTCCTATTTATGCTGAGGACAGAGAAATTTACTCCATGAGCCCTTTCTCAGAATGCTCAAGAATCCAGACTTATTCTGTCTACTTGGTTCTTCAGCAGATTGACCCATAGAGACACACTGATAAATATTAGTATTTAGAATGATTAATACTGTACTGCATGAATCTCTTGATGCATTGTAAATAAAAAAATTGAAAAATCAAATGGCAATACAAAACAGAATTATAAAGAAAAAAAGGTGGAGGAAGAACACAGTGAGACTGTATTTGTCCTTAAGTAAGGATTACAGAATATTGATAAAGAATCTCTATGTGTCGTTTTCAAAAATACACTTTTTGACACCTGCCTACTACTTATGTGATAGAAAAAAATATATATTTAACTGACAGATCTGTATAGGGATAGATGTTCACAAAAGGGAATGGCTCTAAATTGAAGGCGATAATTAATGAATAATGATAGAAAAATGAGGAATCATGATTAGTCATTGAAGATATTGGTCAAAAGTAAGAGGAATGTCAGGACTATGTGTGTTTGCTCAGTTATGTTTTAACTTATGCATGATTAAAGGAACTATCTACTTAGGTTGGCACTGTCAAACCACCAATACACCAGGCTAAGGGAATATGCAGGAGAGGAGTTGTATGGAAAGAGCTTAAGAGTCAGATACAATGGATGTCTCCAAGGAGACAGCATCTTCCAGATACAAGACTGATTCAAATGTGAAGTCATAGAAACTATGAAAACAAGCATGTAAGACTCACACAGGTTCAAATCAGACAAATAGCCAACACCAAGAAAAAGAAGTAATCAAATAGTCATAACCTTAGCTGGAATTTATTTGCAATAGATATCTCGGAAAATTGAAAATCAGTTATCTCCAAAGGAGTGTTACTGAGAAATATCAAACACTGAAATATATGAGACTCCAGGCCTCATAGCAAGGGGTAGTTTGTTAACATTAAACAAACTCTATAGTGTGTTTGTATGTGTTTTTGTGTGTGTGTGCACTTATTGTTTTTCTTTAGTCTGATTAATTTCCCCATTTCACTTTGTCTATTTTGGTTTTTTTTCTGTTGTTGCAGCTTTATTTTTGTGGGGGAGTCTGTTTTATTTTGTATGAAAGAGAAAGAACATGTACTTGGGTGGGTAGAGAGCTGGAAGGATCTGGGAGGATCCGTGGGAAGGGAAAGTATATGATCAAAATATATTGTATGAAAAGAATTTTAAAAGAGAATCTGAAGACAAAAAGAAATAGAAAGGAAGAAATAAAGAGAGAGAGAGAGAGAGAGAGAGAGAGAGAGAGAAAGGGAGGAAGAGAGGGAGAGAGAAAGAAAGGAAGGAAAAGAAACAACCAAGGGTTCTGTTATCCCTGGTTGAATACATGTGCAGAACTGTATACATTGTATCCTACTCAGAACCTGCTCAGAACAAACAGATGGCTCTGGTGTGGGAAGTCCTTCTGTATATGTGTTTCATTTAATGGTGTGGGGAGTTCTTCTGTATATGTATTACATTCAGTGGTATAGGAAGGCCTTCTGTATATGTGTTTTTATTGGATAAGTGAATAAAGAAGATTCTTGGGCCTATAACATGGCAAAATAGAGCAAAGATGTAATTCCAAGTAGAGATAGAGGAGAAAGAAGGCAGAGTTGGAGAGATGCCTTGTGGCTGCCAAAAGTGACAGATGCCTCAGAACCTTACTCGTAAACCAAACACCTTGTGGTGATAATGTTAAGAGTTAGCTAAACATATGCATAAGCAAGTGGTAGAGCAGTGTTGCCATTAATACAATTTCTGTGTGATATTTCAGGTCAGGGTGGCTGGGAATGAACAATCAGCCTCTGCCTACATGGCTCAGTATGTGAGAATGCTTGTCAAGTCTCACAATAGGAGTTGATTCCTGAAACTACCATTGTGGAAGGAATAAGTCAAATTACATAAGAGGTTGTGTAGGTGTCACACTCATGCTGCGGTATTTACTCACACACACACACATACGCACATACCTTCAATCATTATATATATATATATATATATATATATATATGTAACTAACTAATTAACAAATAAATTTAAAATCTCATGATTCTTTCATAACTATTTTGCCCACCTGAGGTCTTCAGTTCATATTATGCAGTTCTTTGATATTATTGACATTTAAATATTGGTGTGAATTTGGGAAGGAGGACTTCACAAGTAAAGGGTGGCAGAACGTAATTCAGACCTACAGATACACAGGGTTCATATGCAACTTGAGTTCTATAAGTATTGAATTAAGACAAGCTACAAACTATTGTGATTCGGATTATGGACTTTTTCTTTTTCTTCTATTCATTGTTTCTAGTACCATGTATAACTAAAGAATTCCCTGACTTCCAGTCTGTGCTTTAAATGACAGGGTTAACTTTCTTAAGGTTTCCTATTAAAAGTGGCAGACATGTCCTTCACTGTCATAGAGTTCATCAAGTGTTCAAAATTGAGTTTCTAATAACAAAGTAATACTTGTGTGACCACACATTCACAGGAGCCTGCTATTGAAGAAACTACTAGAAGCTGCATTATTGTGTCCTTGTTTACAGTACTAAAATATTGAAAGACGAGAAACACATTTATGATTTAAGACTGAAAATTGTTTAACATTAGAGTTTATTTGCAGTTATAAAGCAAGAAATATGAGCCAATGTGTCAATATGTTTAAGAATAAAATGTGAGGGAAGATGAAAGAAATGTGCACATGTTCAAAAATACTTTACAAATTATTGCCTTGTTTGTTAGTTCCTGGAAAATACAACAATAACATGGCACTTTAAAGAGAGGATTAATACAAGTGACTTGTGTTATCACATACTGATTTCTGGAGGACAGATTTGCAAAATTGACTCATTTAAATTGTTTACCTGGTCTTGATAATTTAGGTATATGGTATCTATCTAAAAAAAAATGCCCTTTTTTTTACATTTCCTCAATTTTTTTTGAAGTACAGGCTTTTGTAGTAAGATCTAATGATTCTCTGAATTTACTCCGTGTCTGATGTTATGTGCCCCTTTTCATTTCTGATTTTGTTAATTTCTATGTGCTCTCTCCACCTTTTGATTAGTTTGGATAGGGGTTTGTCAATCTGTTGACTTTCTCGAAGAACCAGCTCTTTGTTTTGTTGATTCTCTGTATTGTTTTCTGTGTTTCTATATTGTTGATTTCAGCCCTCAGTTTGATTATTTCAGTCTTCTACTCCTCCTTGGTGAGTCTGCTTTTTTTTTTTTTTTGTACTAGAGTTTTCAGGTCTGTTGTTAAGTTGCTAGTGTTAGCTTTCTCAATTTTCTTTATGTGGGCACTTAGTGCTATGAACTTTCCTCCTAGCACTGCTCTCATAGTGTCCCAAAAATTTGGATATGTTGTGCCTTCATTTTATTTCAATTCTAGAAGATTTTAATCTCTTTCTTTATTTTTCCTTGACCCAGAGAAGGTTCAATAGTTGACTGTTTAGTTTCCATAAGTTTGTAGGCCTCCTTCGGATAGTATTGTTAAATTCTAAGTTTACTCCATGGTGATCCAATCAGACACTGGTGGTTACTTCCATTTTTTTTTGATCTGTGGATGTTTTCTTTGTTACTGAATATGTAGCAATTTTAGAAAAAGTTCCATGAGATTCTGAGAAGAAGGTATATCCTTTTCTATCTGGGTGGAATTTTCTATAGATGTCTGTTAAGTTCATTTGATTCATTACATCTGTTAGTTCTCTTATATCTCTATTAATTTCTGTCTGGTTGACCTGTCCATTAGTGAAATTGGAGTGTGGAAATATCCTTCTCTTAGTGTGTGGAGTTTGATGTGCAATTTAAGTTTTAGTAATGTTTCTTTTACATATGTAGGTGATCTTGTATTAGGGGCATAGATGTTCAGGATTGAGACTGAATCTTGATGGATTGTTCCTGTTATGATTATAAAATATCCTTTTACATCTCATCTTACTAATTTCCATTTGAAATCAATTTTATTAGATAGTAGAATAGCCGCACATGCTTGTTTCTTAGGTTCGTTTGATTAGAAAATGATTCCCAACCCTTTACTCTAAGGTAGTGTCTGTCTTTGAGGTTGAGGTGTGTTTCTTGTAAACAGCAGAATGTTGGATCCTGTTTTCATATCCATTTTTATAGGTGAATTCAGTCCATTGATATTAAGTGATAATAATGACCAGTGATTGTTAATTCCAGTCATTTTTTGGTGGTAGTGTTTGTGTGTTTCCCTTCTTTGGGTTGTGTTAGTGGACGGTTATCATATGTCTGTGTCACATGGGTATTGTTAGCTTTCTTATGTTGAGATTTCCCTT